TACGGAGGTGGCGCCAACGAGCTTGCCAACGGCTTTTAATTAAATAAAATGATACAATTAAAAGTTAAATTTTTAATTTATTTTAAAAGTTAAAATTAATATATACTTTTTTTTCATATAATAATATATTATATTATAAATTTATAATATTATAACCATAATATCTTTTGTAATGTCAACAGACAGCTATTTGAGGGCTTACTTTGAGTTGTTTCCAGTTCCAGTTTGATGTTTCCCAGCTCGAAAAATAAATAAAATAAAATGAAATAGATAAAATTAGAAAAATAAGAGAGGAGGAAACGGCACCGTCCAGAGACGGGTCACCACTAATCCTCTGTGAACATAATTTCTGACAGGTGGCATGTCTGCTAACCACAATTTAAAGACATTTAAAGAAAATATAAAATATGAAGAAATACAAAATGTCTTTTTAAAGAGAACCAAAAAGATGAAAACAAAGTTTGTAAGTGAGAGAGAATGAAAAGGAAATTGAGTTGATTGGCTTTTATTTATTTATTTTTTTTAATTTTTATTTTTAAGGTATAATTTAAAAATATTTTTTATAATAAGTTTATATAAAAAATAAAAAAAATAAATATTAATTTTAATATCAATATCATATAAATAAATTTAATTATATAATTAAAAAATTAAATATTATTTTTTTTAAAAAAAAACTATTAAATCACAGGTTAACAAAACCTTTTTTTCTTCTTTAAAATCTTTTCTTCTTTAGGTGCTTTGAAGAGAATAATTGGATTAGAATATTCTCTCTCTCTCTCTCTTGGATGAGGGTTAAAATGTACTTCTTTTTTTTCATGAGGATAGAACATGCTTTTAATTGATCTATAGACTATAATCACAATCATAAAAATAGTTGCAGTAGTATCATAGTGTATGGTCCTAGCTAACCACCACAAATATATTAATTTTTGTTGTAAAAATTTATCATAGATTTTAGGTATTTTCAGGTAAGTTGATAATTTGCCAAGCTGTCATCACCATTAGCCTATCAGCTACCTTGTGACAGCAACTTTGTTGCTTTGTGTAATAGAGTAATAATAATAATGGCATCCCTGAA